CTCCTTTGTGTCCACAATATACACTATATTGCCAAAAGTATTTGCTCACCTGCCTTGACTCACATATGAGCTTAAGTGACATCCCGTTCCTAATCCATAGGGTTCAATATGACGTCGGTCCACCCTTTGCAGCTAGAACAGCTTCAACTCTTCTGGGAAGGCTGTCCACAAGGTTTAGGAGTGTGTTTATGGGAATTTTTGACCATTCTTCCAGAAGCGCATTTGTGAGGTCGCACACTGATGTTGGACGAGAAGGCCTGGCTCTCAGTCTCCGCTCTAATTCATCCCAAAGGTGTTCTATCGGGTTGAGGTCAGGACTCTGTGCAGGCCAGTCAAGTTCATCCACACCAGACTCTGTCATCCATGTCTTTATGGACCTTGCTTTGTGCACTGGTGCACAGTCATGTTGGAAGAGGAAGGGGCCAGCTCCAAACTGTTCCCACAAAGTTGGGAGCATGGAATTGTCCAAAATGTCTTGGTATGCTGAAGCATTCAGAGTTCCTTTCACTGGAACTAAGGGGCCAAGCCCAGCTCCTGAAAAACAACCCCACACCATAATCCCCCCTCCACCAAACTTTACACTTGGCACAATGCAGTCAGACAAGTACCGTTCTCCTGGCAACCGCCAAACCCAGACCCGTCCATCAGATTGCCAGATGGAGAAGCGCGATTCGTCACTCCAGAGAACGCGTCTCCACTGCTCTAGAGTCCAGTGGCGGCGTGCTTTACACCACCGCATCCGACGCTTTGCATTGCACTTGGTGATGTATGGCTTGGATGCAGCTGCTCGACCATGGAAACCCATTCCATGAAGCTCTCTGCGCACTGTTCTTGAGCTAATCTGAAGGCCACATGAAGTTTGGAGGTCTGTAGTGATTGACTCTGCAGAAAGTTGGCGACCTCTTCGCACTATGCGCGTCAGCATCCGCTGACCCCGCTCCGTCAGTTTACGTGGCCTACCACTTCGTGGCTGAGTTGCTGTCGTTCCCAAACACTTCCATTTTCTTATAATACAGCTGACAGTTGACTGTGGAATATTTAGGAGCGAGGAAATTTCACGACTGGATTTGTTGCACAGGTGGCATCCTATCACAGTTCCACGCTGGAATTCACTGAGCTCCTGAGAGCGACCCATTCTTTCACAAATGTTTGTAAAAACAGTCTGCATGCCTAGGTGCTTGAATTTATACACCTGTGGCCATGGAAGTGATTGGAACACCTGATTCCAATAATTTGGATGGGTGAGCAAATACTTTTGGCAATATAGTGTATGTAGGCAGATCTTGGATGTGATCGCTGTCCAAGGTGCTGGTCTAGGGGCCGTCAGAGAAGCGGGAGCTGTCCATGGTAATTACCATAGATCATGCTGATGAGCGCGTTGCTTCACAGGCGCAGGCAGTCTGATGACTAGCGGGAAAAGTCCAATTAATTTCCCTGTCATTGTTTCCATCTGCTCCCGCTGCTCTTTAACGGAGTCGCTTTCAGATTTATGTCAGTATGCAGTGGCAGCTTTGCTTGTTTGTTGGAGTTAATGTTACTGCTTGGCTTGTAAACATTTTCTGCATCTCGTCTTTTGCTCATCAACGCTTAAACTTAGCACACTTACATTTTATCTTTTAATAATTGGGCGTTTGGTGTTGCGGCCGGTCGCCGAGGCTTGGTGCCGGGGGGTGGGGCGTGTTTCGGTGCTCTGTGGGGCCGGGGCTTCTCGGTCGGTGCCGGGGGGGGGGCGGTGTTCGGTGCCCGGCCCTACTTCAGGGAGGCCGGCTGCTGGCGGAGCCCGCGGCTCCCCGGGGCCCCGGCATGGCGGTGGCTGGGGGGCTTCTTCGGTGCTGTCTCTCCTCCTCCCTTGGTGGGGGTCTGATTTCCAGGGCTGCCCCCTCCTTGGTGCCTTCGCTCTTGGGGTCCCTTTGGGCGCCTGGGGCTTTGGGTCTCCCGGCACTGGACTCAGTGCTCTGGGGGGTGCGCCTCTTCAGCTCTCTAGTACATGTCAGACTTAATAATATTACTTTAGCGATAGTTTCAAGGTGTTGCTTTATTGTATATCTCGTACCATGTCTTTCGGTTGTGCTGTTCTTTTTTTCATCTCGTTACAGGTGATGAAGCAGACTGAAAATGTTTTGTCATTGTCTCCTTTCTATCTTCTCTTTCTTTCATTTTTTTTTCTTTTTTCCTTTTTTTCTTCTGTTTTTCTGCTCTCTTTACATTGCAGTGTCCATATAAACTGTAAAACTCCCTACATAATTATAATAAAGCAATTTATATGCATGAAACAAGTGGAGCAATATGACAACTGCCATACTGCTACACTTGTAAAAGTAAAATCTGTTGGGCTCTTTTTGGCATCAAGACAATTATTCTTATTGCCATATTGCCAGACAGGACACAGTAAAAAAAAAAAAAAAAAAATATCTTTTTATAATTGTCACTAAGCTCTTTTGAAGTCTTAGATTCCATGATCAAGGAAATAACAAAGCCACACCCTCTGCTGTATGCTGCTTTTCTAAGGCTATTGTTATGTATTTATGTTGGTTTAAAGTTGACCTATAGGTTACTTTGCATACCTTCACAACTTTTAATCAACATATGATATTTTTTTTATAATAATAATAATAACAATAATAACTTAATTCTGGGTTAAACATATTTCTTTAAAATAAACTCTTAACTTATCTAGTAAACACACAACTAACCTAGAGGAAATAAGAAGACAAAAATGGGTGAAAACCATTATAAACGCGATGATGCAATGATATCACTCTTCAGCGTGGATTTTCTTCTGTCTCCTTGAACCCCAGATGACCTCATCAGATGACTGCTTACACTCAGCCTGGTTCTGGTACCTCTGGAGGTTTCTCTTTTATGTTTAAAAACAGATTTAACTTGAAGAACTGAGAATGAAGTCAGATTAGCATAAAAAAAAAAAAAAAAAAAAACATTTGTTAAAATAATATTTTAAAGACTGATCAATAACCAAATAATTAGTTCTTAATAATAACAACAGATTGGAGCTTTATTGTTGCCCTGCGATGGACTGGCGACTGTACTCTACTCTGCCTCTCACCCGTAGACAGGTGGAGAAAGGCACCAGCACACCTCACGACCCCACTTGGGAGTAAGTGTGAATATATCTATATATATATCTATATATATATAGATATATATATGTGTATAAAAATTAGGGGTGCACTGATTGCAGTTTTCCGGCCGATTTCCGATCACCGATCTTTAAAAAGTCTGACCTGACGATTCCGAATTTGGTTGATACCGATTTTATTATTTTTTTGCTATAACCAACACTGTGTTACAAGATCGCAATTCACTTTCAATGTTACAATCTTTTCTTGAAAAACATGCCCTTGAACAATAGCCTTGAAGCATTATAAACTTGTTTTAACTGCCCATGAGGTAGAGCCTTGACATAGAAATGAATTAAATAATAAATATTAATGAAATAAAACAAACTTAAGACTACAACATTGGTCTTTTGATTTTTTACATTTCAAAAAACAAAACTTCAACAAAAGATCAGAAAAAATATGGAATAGCAACTGATCTTAAGACACTCGCAGAGGTAAATAGATCGGTTTCATATGTAAATATCGGCCGATCACCAATCACCCTAAACTAAGGAAATCGGGGCCGATCGATCGGCCGGCCGATTTATCGGTGCACCCCTAATAAATATACATCTATATAAATACCCATGTAAACACACAAACAAAAAAGCTGTCATATGTGGACTCACTCTATATACTGTATATATCCAATGCACCTTTTTCTTCCTTTGGCATATTCTTCTTCTCTTTTTCACAATTTAAGCTGAGGTAATGAGTAATTTCCTTCATTGTGAGATGAATAAAGTCAATCAATCAATCAATCAAAACCCAAATTGTTCAACTAAAAAAACCTTCTTTGCCCCTTCCAGACCTTGTACCATTTTAAACTATGTTTTGAGCTGAGTCTTTTCCAGTTTTCAGAAAAAGCTAAGCATGGCCATGCTGTGAGATTCTGAGGATGGTTGTATTGCTCTCGGCTTTCGGAGGTCATGAAGGAAGGAGCTGCTCCGTCCAGTTTATAGTAGCCTCTGGTTGCAGGCTTCTACTCCAAAACTCACAGGAAAGATAGTCTTCCTTGAGCTATCTGAAAGATAGCTTAAAAAAAGAAACAAATTTGACTCAGACCATTTAAATGTCAATCTTTGTGTATCATACAGGTATCAGATTTAACGCTGGGAGTAGATTCAGTTGTTGTGTGGCCCGCTGGGTCGACGGTGGTAGCAGATCAAGGGTTTGTAGAGTGGTAGGTGTTTCTGTGTTTACGGATCTAAAAGGCTGAATCTAGCCAGTTGTAAAGCTACTTCTATAAAATACTGTGATATGGATCGTGAATTTGGCAATGTTTTGGTTCGATGGATGGATGGATGGATGGATGGATGGATGGATGGATGGATGGATGGATGGATGGATGGATGGACGGACGGACGGATGGATGGACATCGCTGTAGATTTGTTTATTTGTAACAAATTGTTTATGTATTGTGATTCTTTGATTTGCTAAATGAAATGCATTTTTGGATATTTTTGGCAGGATAAAGGTATATTCACTGGAGAGGTTTTGGTCATAAATTGATTTGAAATGAAAAGGCTTGATGATTCAGAGCATATTTAAAACCTCAGTATTTTTTTAAATATTACTCTGAACAAGCTAAAAGTAAATTGACATGACAAGCAGGGGAGGGTTTTACAAAGTTAATTCATTAGTTTTAGTATTGCATAACTCAGCAGCAATGACTAGGCCTAAATATTCATTAAAAGGACTTAATAACTTAATATGGTATAAGTTCAGTTAGTCAAATGACAAACAAAAAGGGGATTTATTTTCTATTCATCTCTGATGCCAAACCAAAAAAACTCCAGTACAAACATGGACATATATTTTTGTTTTTTAAAGAAAATCTGTAAAATAACTTAAGTTTTTCTTTTGATTATATTTTCCAGCCCCACCGACTCCCATCGCTCCCCCAGAGCTCCTTGCTGTTGGCGCCACCTACCTATGGATCAAACCCAACGCCAACAGCATCATTGGAGATGGTCCTATCATCCTAAAGGAGGTGGAGTACCGCACCACTACCGGAAACTGGGCAGAGACTCATGTGGTTGACGCCCCGACCTATAAGTTATGGCATCTGGACCCAGATGTGGAGTATGAGATCAAGGTCCTGCTGTCCAGGCCAGGAGAAGGAGGAACGGGGCCGCCGGGGCCTCCTCTGATTACCAGAACCAAATGTGCAGGTGAGTGGTGATGACTGGCCGGCCTTTTCCCTGTTTTAGTTTGTAAAAGTAGGACAGATTATGTCTAGGAAGCAGATAAAAGGGAAATCTTTGAAGTCTCACAGATTGATTGAGAAGAAGAAAAAGAAGGATGAAGATTTCCTCCAGGGAGCAGCAGTGTGAATCACAGATGATGATAATTGTGGTGCCGCTGAGATGAAGGAGCCTGAGTGCTTTGGCTGGAGGAGGAGGAGAAGTAGTCAGAGGTTAGTTGGGGGCAATCATGGCTGATAATGAGTGTCCCAGTGGGGGTGTAAGGACACTACAAGTGACAGTTCATTTTATGAAATGACAGCCCATCAGGTCCGTGACGGTCTGTCAGGCCACTCATTTGTGTGTTGGGGGCCTCGGCGGGGCGCCGCGTTACCCAGCGGTTGGCTGCCATCAGCAATCATAGCTGCTGCCGCTAGCACGCAGTTAGCTCCTCCTCCTGTTTGTCTTTAAACACATTTAAAATGTAATCGATGCATCGATGACCTGCAAAAATATGTGAATGTACTTTTTATGATTAAGGGTGTGTTTTAGGAAAAGTATTTCCTTGTTCGGATTGAAATCATGAGGAGGTAAAATATTACATCTGGAGAATCCAATCTCTCTTCTTTTGACTCATGATAAATTTCCACCCATATCAGTTTTTTTCTTTACATCTAAACTTCCTACAAGTTGCAGAGCATCAGCATCTTATGTCTTTCCTGTCTTTTTAATACATTAGAAGAAAAAATATTAACTTATTTGCACCAATAGGAGCCTGTAGTTTGATTTTTTTTAGTTTTTTTCCTGTATTTTATAATCTAACAGAAATTGAGGAGTTCACTGATGGATTTGCTGGTTTTCCTCCACTTCTTTTTGTTATTTTATTTTTTTGTTTCATATTTAGTCCTTCATCTAATCTCCAGCTGTAATGAAAATCAAACAAACCTCATTTTTGTTCTGACAAACTTAGCTTTAAAATTTAAAAACATTTTTTTACCTCTAAACAAAGACAATAAGGTGCATTTCTACATAATACCTGCAGCACATCCACTACATACACGTGTTTTGCATAGAAGCAGATGTCTTCTTCAGATTCAACCAACAAATTCTAACCTTATAAGTGTAGTTAAAGCCAGAAATCTGAGCTGCAAAAGACAATATACAATGTTTTAAAGGAAAAAGGACTGAGAAAAGGATCTGGGAAAATAAAAAGATTCTTAAGATAAAGAAAGAAAAGGGAAGGATTAAACCTGGAGAGGAGAAGGAGGAGAAAGATGCGTTTGATGTGAAGTGAAATGGAACAGAGATGGTGGTCACTTCTGTTTGTGTGGAAAGCCTACCAGAAAGGAACATGTGTTTCTCCGCTTGTGGTTCGCTGTTCAGCTGTCACAACCCTTCACAGGGTGTTAGTGTGTGTGTGTTTGAGTGTATGTGGGGGGGTTTGATGGGATTGAAGCAGGCAGGTATGATAGATGTTCAAGAGCCTGCTGGCTACTGCTGAAGCCCCTGTGTGTGGGCTGCTGTGCACTTCTCTCCACACCTTCTGTGTTCACCTCACTGTTCGAGTTAACGTCTGCGAGTCTGCTCACATCAAAACCAGCAATCAGTTCAAATTGGACTAGTTCTTCTTTAATGTCTCCTCATTCCCATGCTACAGTTTCCAGATTATCAATGGATCAGTTTCCTGACCGTTACTCAGTTCTTGTTGAAATTTCTGTTGATCTAATTTTGATGCAGCAAAAGGGGCTTTAATGGGTCCACATGATCAATTAGCTCTAACAGTACATTAAAACTTCTATTATTCACATAGTATTGGAATAATAAACATCATATTTCCACAATGAAATGTCTGAATTGAGATCAGGGTTTCCGCAGGTCATTAAAAATCATAAAATTATTTTTTTTTTAAATTAAGGCCTTAATTGGCATTAAAATTCATTAAATGTGATTATTGTGGCATTTAAAATGCTTTGTTTAAAACAAAACAAAGAAAAAAACATTCACTGTTCTCCTACAGTTAGGAGTTAAAAATTGATAAAGGGAATTCGTCATTAAATTAAATGCTCTAAAATGGTTCATGTTAAATTTTGAACTCCGTCTGAGTGTAGCTAACGTTAGCTTCCCTGCTTATACTGAGAAAAGGGAGGCTTGAATGAAATCCTATTTCTAGCTAAACACAGAAGAAGTACCGTCTAAATAGGTGGCATTTTCTGAATCACAGGCAGTTTCATCTTTTTAGCCTTAAAGGGACAGAAGTTGACATGATTGTGGAGAACTAGATCCACATACAAGGAACTACGAGCACAGAAGGAGCATGGATTAATGCGTGTGACTTGTTGGGGTCTCATGGTCTAAATCTGCAGGCGCAAAGACGCGCTTGGAGGGTGTTTTATCTGCTTCTGTTTGAAATAAATCTACTTGAATGACTATTTGTGCCATTTTGGCAAAAATCTGACTTTATACTTGATGCAGTCAGTTGGGTTTCCCTAGGGCCATTTTAAATAGCTGCTATTGTAAACTGAACTGAATCAGAATATTCTGTAATGGACATAACAAGAAGGGAAACTGAAGTAAAATAGAAAAAAGAAATGCAGTTTTTGTTGTGTAGAGCAACAACTTTAAAGGTTTTAGTGTTTGATTTTATTTAACTCCCTCTCCTATGATAAATCTGTTGGGGTTTTTTTCACAGCTCTAAAGGGAACAGAATACTTTTGCTAAACATCATCAACATTTTTCAGCCATGTCTCCATAACTATCCAACATCAGAGTGACATATTGCCAGACACTTGCTGAGAAGCTTCATATCGCCGTGGTGATATTCTTGCAGAAATGAATACAGATTTGGTCTTGGCTGTGTGATTCTGCAGCTGTTGTTCAGAATAGGATTCAGGTCATTTCATCAGAAAGCGGATGCTCCAGTGAACCCGCCGCCGTCGTTAACCGTGCGGCTTCTCTTTCTGGCTGTGGGGCTGCACATACGCGGCCTTGATGGTGATGATCTTATCAGGCTCCCAGCCTCCTCCTCACATTCTCCTGCTCCTCCTTCTCATCACTCTTTTCTTGCCTTCCAAGGCTTTCCAGCAGTTTGTCCCCCTGCTTCCATTTTGATCATCCCCTTCTTCCTGTAAATGACCCTCGGAGGGCCAGTGTATCTGCCAGATCTGCTCAGGGCCCTGGCTCTTATGACGTCAATATATGGCAACTCCACTCAAACAAATTTATTGCACCTGTTTGTTAAGGATCAAATCTCTGTCTGAGTCTCAACATATTATTACCTATATTTGCTATTGTTTTACATTTCATTGTTGACCTAAAGTAGCCAAAAGTAGAAAACAATCTTTGTCAGTCTTGAAGGAAAGTACTGCCTTCTATGACTGGGCTCTGCCATTTACCAAGATGAAGAAAAAGCTTATTTTATTCTTTTCATTAAGATCTGAGGGCAAGAAGCACAAATGGGACAACTTAAAAAATGAACTTCTTAGAGATTTTAGACAAATAAAACAGTTATTCTTCTTCTAGGAAACAAACGGTTGTTGTTGAAAGAAATTCAAAAGTAGTGTAGCTCACTATTGACTTAGACAGACTTTTTATAAAGTATAAACAAAAATAAATTTCGTTAAGAACAGCTCTCTAGACAATTGCAGCCTTGATAAGTAAGTAGCAGTTATAAAAAATGTGATGAAAAACAGTAATGTAAAAATATGACTGTCTAACATTCAGTTGTTGCTTTTTTATAATCCATTCTAAACAACATTCAGCAGTCTAATGGCAGTGGGGAAGACACTGTTTTGGAATCTTCTGGACCTGCATCGGATGCTTCGAAGCTTCATCCCAGAGGGCAGCAGGGAGAACAGTCCATGGTGGGGGTGTGAGGGGTCATTTATAATGTTACGGGCTTGGGAAATGCAGTGCTGGGATGAAATGTCTTTAATGGAGGGAAGAGGAGCCCCGATGATCTTCTCTGCTCTTCTCATTTCTCTTCTCACCTTCTTCCAGTCTGAGGCGCTGCAGCCTCCACACCACACAGTGAGGCAGCTGGTCAGAATGCTCTCTATGGTGCTTCTGTAGAAGGTGGGGAGGATGGGTGGGGGCAGATGGGCTCTCCTCATGCTCCGCAAGAACTACATTTCTGCCCTTTTGATGAGTGAGGTGGTGTTTACATTTCAGTTGAGCGTATCTGTGATGTTCACCCCCGGGACTTGTCAGGGTTTGGTTGAGGTTTTGAGGACCCAAATGCATAGGAGAGGAGGCTGAGGTGAGTTCTTGTAGTTTTTATGGAGTTCTTACAGGCAACAGAGGCAGGAATCCAAAAATCCAACATAAAAAACAAACCCGAACCATGGAGGCATTAGGGAAAACATGCACGAGGAGCCAGAAATGAGGAACTGCACAGAGAGAGTATATATGGGACACTGAACAAAGACAGGACTAATGAGCTGATTGGGAGCAGGTGTGAAGAGAGGATGCTAGAAGGGAGCTATGGAAAAGGAGACCAACACAAGAGGGCAACAGAGGGCAAACAAGAAAAAACTAAGAAGTAAAATATCCAGAAAATACCAGTAAATCTAGAAAACAGAGATAAACATGGATCAACGTGAAACTGAATACTCACAGAAAACTTAACAGAACCAAGAACGTTACAAATATGGCTGAGCCAAAAGAGGCTGACCTGTTAGCTACTGAACCCAGCTAGCCACAGCGCTACCCTGCTCTCCCCCTTTATATCATGGTCTAACAGTTGCTTTGTTCACCATAAATAGATTTTTTTCAGTTTTGTTATAATTCAGTCATGGATCATTGATCATCAGACGCTAACGCTACAGATGCTCCCGACTCGGCACACTGACGCTGCATGATGTTACTATCGTTGTCTGGGAAACCACAATGTTTGACATCATGTGGCAACGTTCAGCCAATCATGTAGCGTGACGTCCCTGGCATGAAGCAGGACCCGAGCAGATCTGGTACCTCCACCGGTTCTCTTTCTG